ACTATTTTTGTTGACCTTTGTCCATGGAAGGTCCCTGCAAAATTTCATTGAAATTGGTTCAGGGGTTTTGGAGAAGAAGTCGAAAATGTAAATTGTTTACGGACGCACGACGGACGACGACGGACAAAAGGCGATCGCAATAGGTCACTTGAGACTTTGTCTCAGGTGACCTAATAACAAATTCTTTAAAATCCTTCTTCTGTAGGAATGAAAGGATTTGTTCCATATTTGGTCTGGAGCATCCTTGGGAGAAGGGAAACCAATTTTGTATAAACCGTGGGTGTGGCCCCCCAGGGGCGGTGCCCAATAGGGGAAACATAGCAAATTATTCTTTAAAATCCTTCTTCTTCCGTAGGAATAAAAGGATTTGGTCCATATTTATTCTGAAGCATCCTTGGGTGAAGGGGAACCAATTTTGTATAAACTGTTGGTCTGGTCCCCACAGGGGCCTGAGGGGCAGGGCCCAATAGGGGAAACATAGCAAATTATCCTTTAAAATTCTTCGTCTGTAGGAATGAAAGGATTTGGTCCATATTTGGCGTGGAGCATCTTGAGTAAAGGAGAACCAATTTTTTATAAACGGTGGGTGTGGCCCCCTTGGTACCTGAGGGGCAGGGCCCAATAGGGGAAATAGAGGTAAAACCTTTTAAATCCTTCTTCTACCATAGAGATTAAGGGATATTATCCTAATATAGTCTGCAGCATCAATGGGCCAAGGGGACTCAATTTTGTATAAGCATACAGTGGGTGTGGTCTCCCCAGGGGCAGAAGGACAGGCCCAATAGGAGAAATAGAGGTAAAACCTTTAAAATCCTTCTTGAAGTTCTTCGACCATCAGGATTATGGGATTTTATCCTTATTTAGTCTGGAGCATCCTTGGGTCAAGGGGACTCAATTTTGTATGATTGGTGGGTATGACCCCCCTAGGTTGCATATAGGGGTGGGGCTCTGTTTGAAGTTTATTTTCGCTATATCTCAAGTACTGGATGGACCTTCTGAAATTTCATGTGTACTAACAGCATCTACTTCATACCAATTATTTTAAACATATTCAGGTGAGCGATACAGGCCCTCTGGGCCTGTTGTTTGTTCTTTGTCCTTTATCATAGAATACACACTGATACCTAACCCAAGTTCCTCAAAGAAAACTCGATAATAAGATCAAGATAAACACAACACAGACAATTATATAAAAAGAAATAACTTTTATTCTTACATCAAAATAGTAGAATGAACATTATATTCGACCCAGTATCTATTAATCTGGACTGCATTTCAAATCAGCCTCCTTATCCAAATTATGAATTGAATACAAAGAATACTTCCCTTCAAAAGACTGAGATCTAATTCATGCATTTCAATTACTGCACTTTCTCAACATCATATCTGTAGTTACTTATAATATTTAATATAAATCGATCCAACTCGAACGATGTTATAGGAATGGCTTAACGTTGAAATAATCTGTGACCAATAAAAAAAAGATGAGGAGATAATTTGGATAATAGTTTATATGCATTGTTAAGTTGTGTTTAAATAAATATTCAACCTTTGATTAGTTTGAATTGAAATACATTTATACCAACAAGAGTAAATCTCTAGATACAAGGTCGAATGCAATACACCTATAATGTATATATAATATATATGATGTATATAATATATACATATTCCAGCAAGTCATGAACACATCAAATACATCTTAATCAAACAATGCACAATATAAACAAGTCCTCATGGTGACGGTCAACCACTGACTTGTCAACTAAAAAACAATTAACAAACTTATATATACATCTGACCAACAGAGTCCGGTCAGATAAGTCGAAATGTGTCTATATAACTGCATATCACCTGTAAGCTTTGACCAACGACAGACAAGTACATGGTATATGTTAAACATATGACTGCGAGGTTGTCAGTCTCCTTACGAGTATTACAACCAATGAAAAACAAGCTTTGAGCTTCTCCCAACCAGACAACTTATTTCTTGACCATTAAATATGATGTATTGACTGAAACCACCCCTCAGTATTATGCCAGAAAATAAACATGTGGTAAATTTTGTCTGTTTACAAACGAATGGCAGTTGACAGTAAAGCTTTATCCAATGCCTCCAGGTAGTGGTATGGAGAAACATAAACCAAAAAATGACCTTCAAGGATGAACTTTGACCTAATGACATAATCATACACGGAGAATCCAAGTACTATTGAAGTATTTGACCTGATCATGTAAACTGATGATTAACAACTTTACAAGTTTTGTCAACATACTGTACATTTTGTAGTATTACTCCGTAGCAGACAGCAGATTTCGGACCAGTTATATGTTCCGTGTCTGACCACTTTTGCATCAATATTTTAATGAATGAGAGGCAAGCTTAAAACGTATCACATCTTAATCAACAGCAAGCGTTGTTCTAGGAAGATTTAAACGTAAATAGGACAAGTGTGAAGTGAATAGACATATAATTTATAGCTCAAAGTAAGATAACATGACATGAACAATGACTAGGTTATTTGAACTCTTTATACCTTCACACCAAACCCTTTGTACTATCACACAGAACATACATCAAGTCCGTTTTCTCCTACACTTACGTATGAATACAGCAGCACTTTCATTATCAACGATTATACACTAAATACAAAATACTCTCTGGCTTAAAGCAATTTTATCCATCACAGCACAATTGTGTAAAACATCCGCACCAAAGATGAAGGGAAAATGAAGACTTACTGATTTATGGTCATGAATATTTAGATTGGCTATTGCATTTGTATTGGTCAAGATCTTTACTTTCATGGATCTGCGTTTTGTCATACAAGGGGTGAGAATTACAAACTAAAGTCTTAAATTTACATGTGTACTTGTGAAACGTTGATATACAATGCAGCTAGTTTTTTAATTCAAACAACATGAGTACATAGAAATGTACTGACAATATCAAGGAAACAATTCTGAACTTCAGTAATGACTTCCTGTGATTTTCCATAAGCTTGATAAGTTTAATAATGTAGAGGAATGCTTGTGGAACTGGTCCAGCTAGTGATACTTAACTTACCCAGATAAGTATTCAACAAATATTCCAAGACTTCACGTATCCTGTATACTTCTGTTTTACTTTAAGCACTTTCTTGTTATGACAGTGAAAATAACATGCAAAAACTGTCAACAAATCACAACTCAGTTTTTCAGATATGAGCCTTCATATATCCATGAAATAGAATATTATCTTTTAATTTTGGTCCTATTTACTCTCGACATTCCAGGATTATGACCTCTTGTGTTCTGCCCCTTCATGGATATGTCATGACAAAATCGAAGGCATGCAATTATTTTATTTAGTTATTTTCAATTTTTAAATTATCGCCCTTCTCCCATAAACTTAATTTTTGCTCAGTGTAAATTTCACACTTCACATAAAATTACTATGTTCATTATGTTGTCTACATGTACTTGCTGTAGTGATACATTCACACTTGTAACGGAGGGCAAAAGAGACAGAAAATTTATAAAACTGCGGTGAACGTTTCCCTGTATACAGTAATCTACTAGTATCATCCAAAAGGTAGCATTTTGTACAGAGCCTGACGTTCCTAAGGGTGTAGAGAGTGTAGCATTCCTAGGGGTGTACAGAGCCTGACGTTCCTAGGGGTGTACGGAGCCTGCGTTCCTAGGGGTGTACAGAGCCTGACGTTCCTAAGGGTGTAGAGAGTGTAGCATTCCTAGGGGTGTACGGAGCCTGACGTTCCTAGGGGTGTACGGAGCCTGACGTTCCTAGGGGTGTACAGAGCCTGACGTTACCAGGGGTGTACAGAGCCCGACGTTCCTAAGGGTGTCGAGAGTGTAGCATTCCTAGGGGTGTGCAGAGCCTAACGTTCCGAGGTGTGTACGGAGCCTGACGTTCCTAGGGGAGCAGAGAGTGTAGCATTCCTAGGGGTGTGCAGAGCCTAACGTTCCGAGGTGTGTACGGAGCCTGACGTTCCTAAGGGTGTAGAGAGTCCAGCAGTCCTAGGGTTGTACAGAGCCTGACGTTCCTAGGGCTGTAGAGAGTGTAGCATTCCTAGGGGTGTACAGAGCATGACGTTCCTAGGGGTGTAGAGAGTGTAGCATTCCTGGGGGTGTACAGAGCCTGACGTTCCTAGGGGTGTACAGAGCCTGACGTTCCGAGGGGTGTACAGAGCCCGACGTTCCTAGGGGTGTACAGAGCCCGACATTCCTAGGGATGTAAAGAGCCAGACATTCCTAGGGGTGTACAGAGCCTGACATTCCTAGGGGTTTAAAGAGCCTGACATTCCTAGGGGTTTAGAGAGCTTGACATTCCTAGGGGTGTACAGAGCCTGACATTCCTAGGGGTGTAAAGAGGCTGACATTCCTAGGGGTGTAGAGTACCTGACGTTCCTAGGGATGTACAGAGCCTGACATTCCTAGGGGTGTAGAGTACCTGACATTCCTAGGGGTGTACAGAGCCTGACGTTCCTAGGGGTGTACAGAGCCTGATTTTCCTAGGCGTGTACAGAGCCTGACATTTCTAGGGGTGTACAGATCCTGACGTTCCTAGGGGTGTACAGAGCCTGATGTTCCTAGGGGTGTAGAGAGCCTGACATTCCTACGGGTGTACAGAGCCCGACATTCCTAGGGGTGTACAGAGCCTGACATTCCTAGGGGTGTAGAGTACCCTGACATTCCTACGGGTGTAGAGTTCCTGACATTCCTAGGGGTGTACAGAGCCTGACAGTCCTAGGGGTGTACAGAGCCTGACATTCCTAGGGGGGTACAGAGCCTGATGTTCCTAGGGGTGTACAGAGCCTGATGTTCCTAGGTGTGTACAGAGCCTGACGTTCCTAGGGGTGTACAGCGCCTGACGTTCCTAGGGGTGTACAGAGCCTGACATTCCTAGGTGTGTACAAAGCCTGACATTCCTAGGGGTGTACAGAGCCTGCCATTCCTAGGGGTGTACAGAGCCTGACATTCCTGGGGGTGTACAGAGCCAGATATTCCTAGGTGTGTACAGAGCCTGACATTCCTAGGGGTGTTGAGTACCTTAAGGGGTGTACAGAGCCTGACGTTCCTAGGGGTGTAGAGAGCCTGACATTCCTACGGGGGTACAGAGCCCGACATTCCTAGGGGTGTACAGAGCCTGACATTCCTAGGGATGTACAGAGCCTGACGTTCCTAGGGGTGTACAGCGCCTGACGTTCCTAGGGGTGTACAGAGCCTGACATTCCTACGGGTGTACAGAGCCTGACATTCCTAGGGGTGTAAATAGCCTGACATTCCTAGGGGTGTACAGAGCCTGACAGTCCTAGGGGTGTAGAGTACCTGACATTCCTAGGGGTGTACAGAGCCTGACAGTCCTAGGGGTGTACAGAGCCTGACATTCCTAGGGATGTACAGAGCCTGACGTTCCTAGGGGTGTACAGCGCCTGACGTTCCTAGGGGGGTACAGAGCCTGACGTTCCTAGGGGTGTACAGAGCCAGATATTCCTAGGTGTGTACAGAGGCTGACATTCCTAGGGGTGTACAGAGCCAGATATTCCTAGGGGTGTACAGAGCCTGACATTCCTAGGGGTTTACAGAGCCTGACATTCCTAGGGGTGTACAGAGCCTGCCATTCCTAGGGGTGTACAGAGCCTGACATTCCTGGGGGTGTACAGAGCCTGACATTCCTAGGGGTGTAAAGGACCTGACATTCCTAGGTGTGTACAGAGCCTGACGTTCCTAGGGGTGTACAGCGCCTGACATTCCTAGGGGTGTACAGAGCCTGACGTTCGTAGGGGTGTACAGAGCCTGATGTTCCTAGGGGTGTAGAGAGCCTGACATTCCTACGGGGGTACAGAGCCCGACATTCCTAGGGGTGTACAGAGCCTGACATTCCTGGGGGTGTACAGAGCCAGATATTCCTAGGTGTGTACAGAGCCTGACATTCCTAGGGGGGTACAGAGCCTGATGTTCCTAGGGGTGTACAGATCCTGACATTCCTAGGGGTGTACAGAGCCTGACATTCCTGGGGGTGTACAGAGCCTGACGTTCCTAGGGGTGTAGAGAGCCTGACATTCCTACGGGTGTACAGAGCCCGACATTCCTAGGGGTGTTCAGAGCCTGATGTTCCTAGGGGTGTACAGAGCCTGACATTCCTACGGGTGTACAGAGCCTGACATTCCTAGGGGTGTAGAGAGCCCGACATTCCTAGGGGTGTACAGAGCCTGACATTCCTGGGGGTGTACAGAGCCAGATATTCCTAGGTGTGTACAGAGCCTGACATTCCTAGGGGGGTACAGAGCCTGATGTTCCTAGGGGTGTACAGAGCCTGACATTCCTACGGGTGTACAGAGCCTGACATTCCTAGGGGGGTACAGAGCCTGATGTTCCTAGGGGTGTACAGATCCTGACATTCCTAGGGGTGTACAGAGCCTGACATTCCTGGGGGTGTACAGAGCCTGACGTTCCTAGGGGTGTAGAGAGCCTGACATTCCTACGGGTGTACAGAGCCTGACATTCCTAGGGGGGTACAGAGCCTGATGTTCCTAGGGGTGTACAGAGCCTGACATTCCTAGGGATGTACAGAGCCTGACGTTCCTAGGGGTGTACAGCGCCTGACGTTCCTAGGGGGGTACAGAGCCTGACGTTCCTAGGGGTGTACAGAGCCAGATATTCCTAGGTGTGTACAGAGCCTGACATTCCTAGGGGTGTTGAGTACCTTAGAGAATGTAATTCATGGAATTTTAGGATGAGTCCTAGCGTCCTGAATTTAGTCATGAACAATAAAGAAAACAATTTACAAGTTTTACATGTAAACTGATACAGAGGAACTTTCTGATAATAAAGTGAATTGATTCATCATGAAATCCAGAATATGACATTTACAATGTTTGAAAAGACTTCTAGGGATGCCTACATAGAGAAAGGAGAGGGGAAAGCAACAGTACTACCACTATAATAACCAACTCACACTCGATCAGCTTGTAGTTCTATTGCGAGAAATGCAAAAACTCACCTCAACGCACACACAGAAAGTAGTATTGTTGTGAGGAATACAAAAACTCACCTAAACTCACACTCAGCAAGTAATTTTATTGTGAGAAATGCAAAAACTCACAACTGACACACAACATGATATTTTATTGTGAGAAATAAAAAACTTAACAACTCGCACACCAATCGTTATGACTGATTTTTGTGTGAGGTTGGTTATCCAACCATCTCTATGAACAAACCCATTGATTCATCAAAAAACCCACTAATAAACGTTGAAGGAAACCCCAGACTTGTTGTAATGGAAACACTTCTGTAATGTTTATAGGCAAAGCCTCCTTTTAACTCAGAAAAGCAAACATAATGTTATTGAATCGTTGAACTTAATAGTATCGACATGTATGATGATCTGCTCTAGATCTATTGGTCATGAACATGAATTTGTGGTTTAAGGACAGTGTCAACAAAACTTACCTTAACATCCCTCACTAAAACTAAATGATTTCACAAATGTTTTATCACTAAGCACAAGAACAATAGGATATCAAAGCTGCGTTCTATTCTTAAAATGATTTTAAAATTTCCTGATATTTTACCATGTTGTTATATGTTTGTTTATACACGTGATGCACGTAACAGCAGTGGATGAGTCATCTTTAGTAAAACTGTAAAGTGGTAAAGCGAAGCCTATGTACTTCATCAACAGTACTTGTTTAATACATAAAATAAAATAAATGCTGTTTGTGAAATGCTTAGATGGTTGTACACAATACAACCTAGATACAACAAATTGTATATGATAATTCTAAAACCTTTACACTGAATTTAGGTTGTGGTAATGTAATGTCCTTGAATAATGTACCTGGAACCGCCACTTAACTGGTATCTTCCTCCTTTGTTTAAATCATTCACCCCTGAAATTTCATAATGAACTATTCCAACCTTTGAATTGGAAGAGTTCAATTGTTTCTTTAGGGGTAAACGAGTTATAATAGAACTGGCATGAATGTGTTTTATAGTTCCTGTGGAGAGTCGTGACTGTCGTTTGACAATGTCAGCTAAGCAGTGGTACTCGAACTTTACAATAATAAGGAACCTGATAAAGACATTACTGTGATTCCACACTTCTTTATATCAATGATATAAAAAACTTCTAAAAAACCAAGAAAATTATTCCAGACAAAATATCACAAGCATAAATTCAGCAAATTGTGAAACTGGCACCAAAATAAAAATGTTTTATTATATTTGCTGATTCTATTCAATCCCTGTATGGACCTCCCTGCATTAGTTGATCATTATTGGTGGGCATGAGTTTATAAATAACGGGAAATTATGCATTTGGTTCGCGGAGATGGTCGTCCATATCACCAACAACTCCGCTCTCACAGCTCTCGATCCAGGAGTTACTGCGGTAGATGTCCTTATTTGGGTTGTTTACATGGTGTTCCTTCCAGCAGTCGTTAGCATTCGACACTAAGAACATGAACACTCGTGGAAGTCTGCTCGTCTTTTTCAAATATAGCAACACAACTCTTATAAAAATATGGCTTATCAGCATCAAGCATGCATACGCAAACAGTATGTAACAGGTGTTGAATAGAAGCTGGCGAAGAATGCTGACCAAGGGGAATAACTCTGCATGGAGGTACTCCATAAACTTCTGGTCATTGAAATCTGAAAATGAAAATTGCAATATTAAAATCTACATCATAGATAGAGTATGCCATTACAGTTCACATATAGTGGTGAGGAAACAGATCAATTTTTTCAGGTTTTTCAACATTTTAATTATATATCATCATATTGTGATGTCAAATTGATGGAGATTCCTGAATGGTTTCCAATCACCTGATGGAAATGTTAAATATAAACACAAGTTTACAACAAATAGAAAGTGTTCAGAAAAATGTAAAAGCATATTTTGAACATTAATGGGGGTATGTAATCCCGCTGGTTACAAACATATTTTCTATTGGAACCTCCCACATTCAATGGAATCTGTTTGCTAGCGAATGGGTTGCATAACCATAAATGTTCAAAATATGTTCAATTCTTACATGTTGTCAATAGATTACATATGAGTTTAGTGAACATTAAGTATAATCTGTGTATTATGCTACAGTGTTGTGTACTGTACAAGTTACCTTTGAAGTACTGTACACTGACAGGGAGGAAGTTACAGGCCAAGAGGGTGTCGGCCAGGTGGACGTCAGGGAAGGGCGTGGCACACAGTGTATAGTTGGTCGTACAAAGCTGAGTGAGCACGGACTGAAGGGCCGTTTTCTGTAGACAAATAGGTTTTAATATCAGGTTCTGGGCTATCATGCTGTACACTACAAATTTGATATCCATATTGAAAGTTGAAATATTTTTCTTTAAATGTAAATAGTTTTCTTTTATGTAAATTTCTTACCTATATTCTAAACATTTCTACAAAAAAAATCTCACCTGTTAGCCTGTGATCAGATATCTTTGATATGTAAGTTGACTTACCTGTTGACTAGCTATGTCCTTCAGTAGATTATTCCCAAATTTAACTTCCATGTCTACCATAGATTGAAAGTCCTGAATAAAGTCATTTGTGTACAGATGTAAGTCTGATAACAAGTTGTTGGTGACCTCGATCTGTCTATGAAACTGAGGCAAGGTTGACCTTGTATCCATGAGAAACGTTGCTGTCTCCAATGTCACAAGGTCATCTGAGGCTTTTATAACAATGCAGATTATCAACACGAATGACCCGACTAGCACAAATCTCCAGAGAATCGGTGATATGAGGTGTTTATACAGAAGCTTTAGTAGTCTAATAAAACTATACACACACAAACATTCCTCCTCACTTGTCGCTGTGCCTGTATGCTTTTGACGCTTTTTGTGATTCCAAATTTCAAGTAAAATATCCTCTTTTGACTTTGGTGATGCTCTACAAAACTTGAGGTACAGGTCATTTTTCCCATTCCAAATGTCCTCCTTGTTTTCTATGTAATAATGGTAAGGATTATCAAGAGGGTCGTACGGATGATCGGATTCATGACCCGTCAACATAAAATGAATCTTTTTCGCGACAGAGTCAGTAGGAATTTTTTCTTCGGCTCCCAGTTTTGCTTTCTGAAACATCTGACGTAGCCATGTAAATCGATACAACAACAGGAATATATCCATGACGATGAACACACAGATGAAAACAGGCAGAAGAACTCCCTTCATGCCGGACATAAGACTAGCTTTAGAAGCTGCCTGTTCAGCCATAGCATTGTGTGTGTGTACACTAGTGTTAACTGCCTCAGTTTCTCCGCCTCTGCGGTAGAAAGTTTGCTGGCGAAGTACGAAGTGCTTCTGATAGACCTGGGATTTGATGGTTGTCCAGTCTAGGGCTGACTTAGATATCACACCGACATCTTTGTCCAGGGGGATTTCTATTTCTACATTCGGTAGAGAGCGCTGCAGCCTGTTCAAACAAAATTGGTTACCAATTAACAACAAATTAATGTTTTGTCAAATATGAACACTTATATATACTTATCCCATGCATGTTTGTTTTGATTGTTAATCTTTCAAATTAGAAAATAAAAAAATATTAGTATAAATATTCATTCTACTAGAAGTCTACTGGAAAATGAGAAGAGATTATTACATTTTTAGGTACAAAAAGTTGATTTTTTTTGTTCGTTATACGGTTTCCTGAAGTAAATAAAGCCACAGCTGATGATATTATAATGTATTATGAAATGACAGTCATAGGTGGTCATTTGATAAAAATACTCTCTGAAACAGGGAGTGGGTAATGATAAGAAAAGCTATTAATATGGTTTAGTTACCTAGCAATAAGGCGTTCCTTCACCTCCAGAACACTTGAAACCTTCTCAATCTCCAGCCACTGGAGAAACTCCGTCACGTCTTCAGTCAGAGAGAGGCGAGTGTCGAATATACCCTCTTGGTCCATAAACAAGGTTCGGGGATTACTAAGCCAGGCAACGTTAGATACATCATGAAGGAAGCCTACATACTTATCTAAAAATGATTCAAAATAAGTCTGTATAGCGTTGTTACAGTTTTCGAAATAAACGTCTATTTTTACACGGACGGTTTTGGATCGTTCTTCTAATATGCCCACAAGGAGATGATGAAGAGTTCCATTTTGGCTATACAATGTTTTTATGTCTTTTTCAATACTGTTGTAAACATCATGGAATATTTTCTCTGCATTTTCTTTCAAATGATGTGAGCAAGCCTGAAGTCGATCATGTGTTTGATTAAACATTCTAGTAACTTGCTGGCTTTCAAAATCTTCCATTTCACGGAAGTGCTTGCCGACGGCCTCTTGAATCTTTGCGCTGGTGTTGGAGACAATTGTGAGGTTGCTCACCAGGGGGCTCTGTACCATGTAGAACATGCCAAGTAACATGGAAAATGTAAAAACAATGGCATACAGTGCATACAGAACAAGGAGTACAACCATCACTACCTTGGAAATCGGCCTTCCCTGAACGTTAGGGTGACCGTCAGGTTTCATTCGGTCCTCTTCCCGAGGCACGATCAAAAAGGTATATCTGGACATAAAACTCTCGTTCTCACCACTTTTACTATTTATCACAATTGCTAACACTACAAATCCTGCCAAGACCATCGCGGCCACGGCAAGAGTCACAATGATTGGTATCCACGGAAAGTTGGGCTCGTGTTGAAGCTCAGGATCTGACGGATCTAGATCAGCAGTGACAATGATAGGGCTGTCGATGACGGAGATACTCATTCTATGACACGTCACAGAATCATTGATATTCACGATAAAAATGTCCGGTATGACGTTTGGTGTCTTTGGAAGTTGAATAGTAATGGAGAAATTGTTTGGTGGCATGACTAAGATGTCATGAAGCCCAAGGTATGACGTCATAAACTTGTCAAACACATCCATAGTGAGATAAGCAGGAGAGTTGGTGAGAGAACCTGGCGAGAAAACAAGTAGAACCATTGTCAATGTGTCACTCCAATAAAATCTCTATAGTATAGACACTGTGGATATTTTCAGGTCTAACTTTATACATTTAAGCTCTGATATCTATATCACATCAACATATTGATCAAGGAGATATTTATTACACAAGATGCTGAAAGATTTATAAGGTATAAGGTTTGAGAAATGGTTCTTTGGCTAGATAACGTTTCTTCAAATCTTGAACAGTGAAGATGTTTTTTCCGAAAAAAGTGGCAAATCTTAAATCAAATGTTTTGCAGACTATTTTGTTTTGTTTATAATGGTAAACTGGTAAAGCTTATACATAAGGATTTGTTTATATTTATCCACAATGATTCTGAACACAGCATTTCCATTACACCTGTTACAATTCTCATTGATTACCTTTGACAGTGATGTTCCACTTCTGTGCCCATTGGTCCCAGATGACAGACCCTGTTAGACTGCCATTTCTAACTGTGGTTTTTAAGTCATCGTAGTAGCTCAGCACAGATTCATTTCCAATTAGGAAGAAGCGTATGTACGGTGCACGAGATGTCGGAGCGATCTGATACTCAAACCTGTCTTTGATCTTGATGATGGTCGGTTCTACATCAATGCCCCCCGACTTGTACATTGGCTGGGGTGCGTAGATCTTGGAGAAGTTTTTGGCCAGACATCCACCCTGACTCCATCCTGAAGAACTGTAGAGAAATGGACGCTCAAGCTGGACATGGGTAGAGTAGACGTTATTGGGTATCAAGTCGGATCGATGATTCCGCACTTTGAATCTCTTTTTCCTGTTAAAATCGTTTGGCTCTTTTAACTTGTGAAATTTGAATTTTTTAGCCTGGCCATTCTGAAACCTGTTACCAATGACGATAACCTCATTGTTTATATCCGACACAGCATCATGGAAGAATGACAGATAATCGGCACTGTTGTGTCCAAATTTGTGGTATGTCTTGTTCTCGGCGTAGATGACCTTTGTTCTGACAGCAGAGGAGAAATTCATGTGTGGTATAGTAACAAAGTACTCGACTTTGTAGAGTTTCTTTGGTTTTTTGTATTGGAGGTGACACATAAATCGCTGTTCTATGGTATCAAACTTTGGCTCCAGAGAAAACAGGTACAGGTCTCCTACAACAGGGAAGTCCATATATGTCAGACAATAGTATAAGGGTTATGGAACACAGGATACTACTGTAGTGAACTGCTGTTATAGTTATTTTTTTACATACATGTACTTACTTTTAAATATTATCTGAAGTGGTCAAGGGACAATTTTACCAGAGATTTTCTACACCATAAACATATCAAACCCTGTGGAGAGGTCAGACAAAATCATGATTTATTAAAAATTTAAGAAGAAAAAATCAAAAGAACTACATGTATGTCTTATTCCTATTTCATGAAATTAGAAGTTATGTAACAAAGACGGCACAAATGAGTTGCTTTATTGAATTAGCTACACATATACGTTTCATTTGACCATTCATTTTACAAAAAAAGAAGAAGATATTTTTGGTGTTTTACTAATTCCTACCATAGTCAGATCCCCCAAAAATGCTTTGGACCAAAATTCAATCTTGGCAGTTTGAACACCTGGTAGACTTGAAAGATTTCCATGTTGTTGCAGTGACCTACCTGCTGCACACTTGACCGGTTGGGGTGGACACGCTGAACTGAAGGCCTGTAGACAAGCATACTTGTTGAAACAGGACACACTGCAGCATGCGTCTCCAGACAGACCTGTAACAGAAATATTGGGGTTTTATTTGCCAATTAGACAAAGTTGATTTATTTGCTGTGATCTTTTATAGTGTTAAGAAATATGAAATGAGTTTATAGTCTCGCATTGTCTTTTTAAATGATATAGATTTTATAAAGGAACCACCTGAGTCACAGCGAACAAACCATGTGGAATGTGATTAACCAAAACATCAGTGTAACAAGGGTCCCGTATTGATAGGAAAATCAAGGGAGGTAATAGTTTCATATACAAAACTGATATCTGGGGAAGTAGCTGTGTCCTATCAAACCTATATCAGGGGGAGGTAACTATCATACAAAACTGATATCTGGGGAAGTAGCTGTGTCCTATCAAACCTATATCAGGGGGAGGTAACTATCATACAAAACTGATATCTGGGGAGGTAGCTGTGTCCTATCAAACCTATATCAGGGGGAGGTAGCTATCATACAAAACTGATATCTGGGAGGTAGCTGTGTCCTATCAAACCTATATCAGGGGGAGGTAACTATCATACAAAACTGATATCTGGGGAGGTAGCTGTGTCCTATCAAACCTATATCAGGGGGAGGTAACTATCATACAAAACTGATATCTGGGGAGGTAGCTGTGTCCTATCAAACCTATATCAGGGGGAGGTAACTATCATACAAAACTGATATCTGGGGAGGTAGCTGTGTCCTATCAAACCTATATCAGGGGGAGGTAACTATCATACAAAACTGATATCTGGGGAGGTAGCTGTGTCCTATCAAACCTATATCAGGGGGAGGTAACTATCATACAAAACTGATATCTGGGGAGGTAGCTGTGTCCTATCAAACCTATATCAGGGGGAGGTAACTATCATACAAAACTGATATCTGGGGAGGTAGCTGTGTCCTATCAAACCTATATCAGGGGGAGGTAACTATCATACAAAACTGATATCTGGGGAGGTAGCTGTGTCCTATCAAACCTATATCAGGGGGAGGTAACTATCATACAAAACTGATATCTGGGAGGTAGCTGTGTCCTATCAAACTTATAACAGGGGGAGGTAACTATCATACAAAACTGATATCTGGGGAGGTAGCTGTGTCCTATCAAACCTATATCAGGGGGAGGTAACTATCATACAAAACTGATATCTGGGGAGGTAGCTGTGTCCTACCAAACCTATATCAGGGGGAGGTAACTATCATACAAAACTGATATCTGAGGAGGTAGCTGTGTCCTATCAAACCTATATCAGGGGGAGGTAACTATCACACAAAACTAATGAAGGGGAGGTAACTGTACAGAACTGCTACCAGTAGATGTGCTGTACCTGTGGATGGGTTACACAAGTTCTTATTTACACAGCGCTGACACTCCTCCTGGTAGCCTTTACACTCAGGGGACGGAAAGCTCAATGGAGTCACATCAGCAGCCGTCACACGGAACGTCTCCCTCAGTAAGACTGTATCCTCAGAACAGTAGATGATGTTTGGGGCCTGACGAAGCTGAGAGAAGTTTCCAGGCTAGAAAGAAAATCAGAAATTAGTTGGTTTACAATCTAGTTACTGAAGCAACTCAATCATCATTTTATTTGTAGCTATTCACACTTTAGGACCATATGGAAAGATTAGCCCTGAGCTAATAATGTGAAAATATTGATCTTTGTATTAAAACTTCTATTATTATTAGTGGACCTAGTTATATGTGTTGAAAATTCATCACAATCTGTCAAATAACATAGACAAGCAAGTTGATGTGGTACCTAATTTGTTGTACCACTAACATTTCCTTGGATTGGAGGTACATTGGGCTACACAGTATAACAGTAAACACTCTATTCATCAGCACATTTCTACTGTAACAGGAGATGGAAAGTCACGACCAGACTTGGGTTCGAACCCGGGACCATCCAAACTCTAGGTGGACGCTCTACCAATCGACCTTTTCCAGTTTATGCAGCTACATAAAAATACATGTATGAATTATAGTTTGGCTGTACCCTCTCTGGACACGGTGTGGTGTATGACCGCTCTAAGTACTGGTCATCCTTGAAGTAGTCTGGAGGACACTGAGGAGGATCTGTACCCTTCGTTGGACAACTGACCACTCTGGCTGCGGAGGTGAAGTCCCGAAACAGTTCTAGCATCATCTTGTAGTGGTCAGGCATTGGGTGTCTGTAGCAACAACATCAGTAATTCTACAGGAATTGTAGGAAAACTTTACGTAATAGTCAAAACTAAAGATACATTTAATGTCTGTAGCAACAACAACAGTAACTCTACAGGAATTGTAAGAAAACTTTACGTAATATAGTCAAAACTAAAGATACATTTAATGTCTGTAGCAACAACGTCAGTAATTCTACAGGAATTGTATCTAGTATATATATATTGATATTGATAATGTCTCAGTGTAAAAAATAAATATGCCATAAACACACACATATATGGCATTAACTTAAGAAACTCTAGCTCACAACAATCATGACAGGTATCTAGAAATGTACCTGCAGTAATTGTTCTGAATCTGAACAAAATGGGCTGCTAATTCGCTTTTCTGGTAGATGTCCGTGAGGAAGAAGTTGCTGTCGTCGGTGTGGTCCAGGTCTATGTACTCAGGGACGAGGAAGATGTCGGACACCCTGACCTTGACCTGTAGACCTGATTCACGGGGGAACGTGAACTGCATGGACTGTTGGTTGTTGGCTACATAAACTGGTGTGTCCACGTCCTTCATTCCGCTGATCTTCTCAACAAACACATTCTTTGAGGTATGAACTTCTGGTGTAAAATTACCTGTAAAATGAGAAGACAAATATCATTTGATAAAAATATGTCTCAGAAAATTCCTGAAGAATCAAGATTTTAAATGCTTTATATTTGTATATGGTTATATATATAATCATTCTTTACTTGAAATCAATATCAACATTATGTTTACCTTTGAATCTTGTTTAAGTGCTACATTAATTAACTATCAAATTTATCTTTCTCTTGTATTCAAAGGATAAAAAGTTATTCTCTGCTTCAGCATGATAAATTACTTTAAAAAGGTTGGATTGCACAACACCAACAGAATAAAGAATATTGTAATGCTAGCAAGCTATATAGGAAATGGCTCAAGCTAATTAAGCCTATAGAAATTTAAGGGCCATGACAACACTAATATGTAAAAATACAGACCTGCTTTAAGGTAGGTTGAATTCCATTTAAAATGATCTAAAGGAAATGACACATCTGTAAAATAATAATAAGAAACCATTACATATATATTTATACATGTGAACATTGACAAACTGCGCTAGATAATATTTATACAGGTGAACATTGACAAACTACGTTAGATACTATTTATACAGGTGAACATTGACAAACTGCGCTAGATACTATTTATACAGGTGAACATTGACAAACTGCGTTATATACTATTTATACAGGTGAACATTGACAAACTGTGTTAGATACTATTTATACAGGTGAACACTGACAAACTGCGCTAGATACTATTTATACAGGTGAACATTGACAAACTGCGCTAGATACTATTTATATACAGGTGAACATTGACAAACTGTGTTAGATACTATTTATACAGGTGAACATTGACAAAGTGCGTTATATACTATTTATACAGGTGAACATTGACAAACTGCGTTAGATACTATTTATACAGGTAAACATTGACAAACTGCGCTAGATACTATTTTATACAGGTGAAAACTGACAAACTGTGTTAGATACTATTTATACAGGTGAACATTGACAAACTGCGCCAGATACTATTTATACAGGTGAACATTGACAAACTGCGCCAGATACTATTTATACAGGTGAACATTGACAAACTGCGTTATATACTATTTATACAGGTGAACATTGACAAACTGCGCTAGTAACTATTTATACAGGTGAACATTGACAAACTGCGTTAGATATTATTTATACAGGTGAACATTGACAAACTGCGCTAGATACTATATATACAGGTGAACATTGACAAACTGCGTTAGATAATATTTATACAGGTGAACATTGACAAACTACGTTAGATACTATTTATACAGGTGAACATTGACAAACTGCGCTAGATACTATTTATACAGGTGAACATTGACAAACTGCGTTAGATACTATTTATACAGGTGAACATTGACAAACTGCGTTAGATACTATTTATACAGGTGAACATTGACAAACTGCGCTAGATACTATTTATACAGGTGAACATTGACAAACTGCGTTAGATACTATTTATACAGGTGAACATTGACAAACTGCGCTAGATACTATTTATACAGGTGAACATTGACAAACTGCGTTAGATACTATTTATACAGGTGAACATTGACAAACTGCGCTAGATACTATTTATACAGGTGAACATTGACAAACTGCGTTAGATACTATTTATACAGGTGAACATTGACAAACTGCGCTAGATACTATTTATACAGGTGAACATTGACAAACTGCGTTAGATACTATTTATACAGGTGAACATTGACAAACTGCGCTAGATACTATTTATACAGGTGAACATTGACAAACTGCGTTAGATACTATTTATACAGGTGAACATTGACAAACTGCGCTAGATACTATTTATACAGGTGAACATTGACAAACTGCGTTAGATACTATTTATACAGGTGAACATTGACAAACTGCGCTAGATACTATTTATACAGGTGAACATTGACAAACTGCGTTAGATACTATTTATACAGGTGAACATTGACAAACTGCGCTAGATACTATTTATACAGGTGAACATTGACAAACTGCGTTAGATACTATTTATACAGGTGAACATTGACAAACTGCGCTAGATACTATTTATACAGGTGAACATTGACAAACTGCGTTAGATACTATTTATACAGGTGAACATTGACAAACTGCGCTAGATACTATTTATACAGGTGAACATTGACAAACTGCGTTAGATACTATTTATACAGGTGAACATTGACAAACTGCGCTAGATACTATTTATACAGGTGAACATTGACAAACTGCGTTAGATACTATTTATACAGGTGAACATTGACAAACTGTGTTAGATATTATTTATACAGGTGAACACTGACAAACTGCGCTAGATACTATTTATACAGGTGAACATTGACAAACTGCGTTAGATAATATTTATACAGAGAACATCGACAAACTGCGTTAGATACTATTTATACAGGTGAACATTGACAAACTGCGTTAGATAATATTTATACAGAGAACATCGACACACTGCGTTAGATACTATTTATACAGGTGAACATTGACAAACTGCGCTAGATACTATTTTAGTATTTCAGAAACTGTAGTCAATGTTCTAGATTGTAATTTCTTTTTCAAAATAATGAAGTTATATTCTAGAGGTTTCAGAAATATGAAACTCCAGAAAATTTACTCTCCAAAAAAACCCATACAATGACAATGGATACTGTCAATTATAAATGATTCCTATAAATGTTGGCAGAAGGTGAGATGTTCAAATTAATAAAGTCTGAATTAAAAACATATATATTACATTTGAGTTATACATTTATACTGGAAGATTGACTTGATGTTTGAGTGGTGACCTTGAAATCAATAAATGACCTCTGTATGACCTTGACCTTATCACACCTACCAAGACACATGGTGTTCTGAGTGGTAGTACACGTCGCCACTTGGTATTCTGACCCCTTACATTTGGAACATTCTGAAAACATGAAGATTTAAATGAGAAACAGAAACATTGGTGAGTTATTGTCTGACGCCATGAACTGGTCAATCCCTAACATTCTTTTACATATGAAGCCTTTTACTTATTCTTATTAAAGAATCAATAAAAAAACCTGTTCTTCATATAAAAAGTGTTACAATGATATAATTTTTTCCCTTTGTTACTTAATCACTTTTATTATTTTTCAAGCAGAAAATGAATAGAAAAGTTCAGACTGGATATTAAAATGATGTCAGAATCATGTAGTTTACTGTACCTCTAAATACAACGTCTCTATCAACAGTACAGCTCTCCTTCATGTAGAACCCTTCAGGCACTGAGGTAGTACAGGCTAAAACACACAGAAAATAGTATTATTGTAACAACTCAAGTCATATACAGAAAGTGTCCACACATGTTGGGGACAATAAAGGCCCACTGTAAAGTGTCGATCACTGAAATATAACCTGGACATGAATTAGTATGACAGTCCACCAGGTCACAGTTGTTCTGACAACTCATGCTAACCAGGTGTCTTATTCCAGGACGCACAATCAAAAAGAAAGAGTAGGCTGAAGAGAAAAGATGAAGTTCTCATCGATTTTAAAGTTGTAAAAGTAAAGTCTATTTATAGATTATTTAAAACATAGAGTTTCCATCAAAAAATTATTCACAGTAATTGATCATGAAAGACCTTCAGGATTTCTGATTTTGGAACATCTGCCAGATATTGCTATGGATAATGAAATGTCAACTGTCACAAATGTATTATTTTTCATTAATAACTCAAATGATTCAATAATTCGTTAATGCAAATTTTCCGAAATATCTGATTTTGTTTTGTACATCATAACATGTATTTTGTCTTCAGATTATCATAATGAATCCCTCACATATAATTTAAATTTTGTATTTCATTTTTCTTTAAAAAGAATTTCTATAAAAGGCTTTTGTTAATTTGATCTTGAGCTAATCTGACTTTGAACAACAAGCTTCAAGCTTGTTTTCCCAGGGTTTGCTGCTATGATGAACCGGACTTAATGAGATTTTGTGGTTAAAACACTAGTATATGAACATAGAGAGTAGACTTACGTTGACACTTATTTCCCTCTAAGTAGAATCCTCGTTGACATCTACATTTAAGGGCGCCAAACCCAGCTTCACATAAGGCATATGTATCACAAGCAGTAAGGTTCTTCTTACATGGGTCTCTCAAGTCTGTGGGTGGAAAACATGTCAGAGTTATTGCCCTTGTACCAGTATACAATGCTGTTCATGTCACAAAGCTAATGGTGTAGTTGTTCTTACAGTAAAAACTGGTGAAATTCCATTAAACTAAATCTGTCTAAAACATTACAACATAAGAATCTTGACTGGTAGAACAATGGAAAGTTTTCAAACTTCTTCAATCTTATTATCAATTATTCAATTACTATTTTAATCATTAAACGTTACAATGTAGTAAGCAATGTTTTCTCTGCAGGAACAGTGGATGGTTGTATTTTACTCACTACACTTCCTTATTGCTTCAAAATCTATCTGATCACCTAATCCTGACCGTCTCACAATCAATCTAGCTTTACTGAGATAGTGAACCACATTGTAACAACCATATATAGAGGTCCATTATCCGCGAGACAAAAAACCATTTGAGGAGGGATACAAATCTACAGTGACACTGCAGGCCTCTGACACTGATGGATTAGAGATCTGACCAATGTGCTGGACATTTGACTCTCTGATACTTACCCATGAGGCGGACGTGAGTGACCAGGGAGAGGCTCGACGTGTTGATAGATAGGCTGGACAAGTCAGGGCTCTCACTGTAGGACCGCACCCTCCCTGAGGAAATCAGAAACACAATTGATAAATCCCACCCCAGGTAAAAGTCAATGTAATCTTTGAAGCACATCTCAATATGTACAATAGGACACCCCCATAACTAAGATGATGACCCCTCTCGGTCTGGTGAGAAAATAAAACTTGTCCCTACGATAATGTCACGGTTCACAATAGCATGTCAAGCCAGTAGACATAAAGAAAATTACGTACTAAAATTGTAACTGGGATCTCAGAAGAGGAGATTTGTACAAGTCTCCAGAGCATTAGGGAGTCTGAACGCTGAATCTTCATTTGGTTTCTATTCAATCATTCATTTATCAAATAACCGTTGCAATCTGACCTTGCATGATCTTAATCGCATCATGACAATTTTCATTGTCTTCAGGATAATGGGTTGTTACAATTGTACATCTGACTCTTTTCTTCTAGGTGCATTTCTTTCCACAGAGACCATTTGAAAACAGGTATGTATCATTAAGGTTGTGGAGGGGAAAATATTAGATTTAGATTTTATTTTGCTTAAAATCATCTAAGGAAATTGCAGTAGACATGGTATTTTGATAAAATGTGCAACTCAAAAAATAAATACAAACAAACATTTTCCTCCAAACACGATATATAAATGTTCATACAATTTCTTAATTTGGTGTTCACTATTAAAAGTTTGAAAAATCTGCACGATGTCATCATTTTTAATAAGCTATTTTTTTCAATGTTTGATTTACATCCTACATGCTGACATGTTTTGGACAAAGGGAGGCCGTCTTCAGAGCACAGTTACATGATTTTTGCAACTATGGTACAATGACAATAAAGGTCATGTGACTAGAACAATAAAGAATAACTGTGATGTCATCAAGTTGCTACGAGTTACAGCCTGAAAGGGTGAAAAGGTTTAACCATTTTTGAGTGGTGCATAATAGAATAAGTGCTAAATAATTTCCAAATAAAGGATAAAAGTTGGACACAAGGGAAAAATAAATTTGAAATATTTACATGTTTATCGTTATAAAGTAGCACATAAATTCTGTACATAGCGATCGCTTTATGAACCCAAGTTACCCAGTTATAATCCCTAACGAATAGAAGTTCTGTAATACATGGCCTCTATACATAATTAAGTGTAGATTGGTCAGTGGGGACAGTGACCCACTCATATTAAAGACACTGCTCTTCAATACAAATGTCTGGAGTTGAAATCTTAGTTTGACTGTAATTATTAAAGGTCAGTAGCAGCTTTCCCCACCTTGTAGGCAAGACAGAAAAGTCACCACCTTGTAGGCAAGACAGAAAAGTCACCACCTTGTAGGCAAGACAGAAAAGTCACCACCTTTTAGACAAGACAGAAAAGTCACCACCTTGTAGGCAAGACAGAATAGTCACCACCTTGTAGACAAGACAGAAAAGTCACCACCTTGTAGGCAAGACGGAAAAGTACCCACCTTGTAGACAAGAGAGAAAAATCACCACCTTGTAGACAAGACAGAAAAGTCACCACCTTGTAGGCAAGATGGAAAAGTCACCACCTTGTAGGCAAGACAGAAAAGTCACCACCTAGTAGGCAAGACGGAAAAGTCACCACCTTGTAGGCAAGAAGGAAAAGTCACCACCTTGTAGGCAAGACAGAAAAGTCACCACCTTGTAGGCAAGACGGAAAAGTCACCACCTTGGAGACAAGATGGAAAAGTCACCACCTTGTAGACAAGATGGAAAAGTTATAACCAAAAGCAAGGTCTTGGTCTAGATAATTAAGAATCTTACCTAGTAGGTAAAGAACTCTGTATCATACTCCAAAAATCGGCAATGATAAATGTGTTTCCCACCACAAATACAAGTAAAGCAAAGTTTGTGAGGTTTTCAAGTAAATTCAAATAAATCTCCTTCCATGATCTGCTATAGTTGATGTGATGCATATAGACTATTTTCATGACGTCATTTTAACCACTCATGTAGCTTGTCTGTACTCTAGATATTTATCAATATTTATCTGCGAGTTCACTGGTAAATGTCAACATTTATCTCAAGTTCAATGGTAAATGTCGATATTTACCTGTGATTTCAATGGTAAATGTCAATATCTATCTGTGATTTCAATGATAAATGTCACTATGTATCTGTGATTTCAATGGTAAAAGGCAATACAGTGTATTTATCTGCGAGTTCAATGATAAATGTCAATATTTATCTGCGAGTTCAATGATAAATGTCAATATTTATCTACGAGTTCAATGGTAAATGTCAATATTTATCTAAAGTTCAATGGTAAATGTCAATATTTATCTGTGAGTTCAATGGTAAAAGTCAATATTTATCTGTGAGTTCAATGATAAAAGTCAATATTTATCTGTGAGTTCAATGGTAAATGTCAATATTTATCTGTGAGTCCAATGGTAAATGTCAATATTTATCTGTGAGTTCAATTGTAAATGTATGGTATTGCGGTAGTTTACATTCAAAGAACATTTACCCAAACAAACCTATCAATAGAGACAAAACTACTTTAGTGTTTTAATTCCAAATATCTATTCATTCTATTTTCAACGCTCACCACAATCAGGGTATGTGCTGAACATTGTAAACATCTGGTATAGCGATACCATAGAACTAGTGATATTATTGGAAGTGAGTATACATGGTAAACACCTATGTTAAACCATGAGATAGACAGTAAACAGACAGTAACAGTGTCCTATAGAGTGGTTCACACAGTAAACAGACAGTAATGGTGTCCTAGAGAGTGGTTCACACAGTAAACAGACAGTAACATTGTCCTATAGAGTGGTCCACAGAGTAAACAGACAGTAACAGTGTCCTATAGAGTGGTTCACACAGTAAACAGACAGTAATGGTGTCCTAGAGAGTGGTTCACACAGTAAACAGACAGTAACAGTGTCCTATAGAGTGGTTCACACAGTAAACAGACAGTAACAGTGTCCTATAGAGTGGTTCACACAGTAAACAGACAGTAACAGTGTCCTATAGAGTGGTTCACACAGTAAACAGACAGTAACAGTGTCCTATAGAGTGGTTCACACAGTAAACAGACAGTAACAGTGTCCTATAGAGTGGTTCACACAGTAAACAGACAGTAACAGTGTCCTATAGAGTGGTTCACACAGTAAACAGACAGTAACAGTGTCCTATAGAGTGGTTCACACAGTAAACAGACAGTAACAGTGTCCTATAGAGTGGTTCACACAGTAAACAGACAGTAACAGTGTCCTATAGAGTGGTTCACACAGTAAACAGACAGTAACAGTGTCCTATAGAGTGGTTCACACAGTAAACAGACAGTAACAGTGTCCTATAGAGTGGTTCACACAGTAAACAGACAGTAACAGTGTCCTATAGAGTGGTTCACACAGTAAACAGACAGTAACAGTGTCCTATAGAGTGGTTCACACAGTAAACAGACAGTAACAGTGTCCTATAGAGTGGTTCACACAGTAAACAGACAGTAACAGTGTCCTATAGAGTGGTTCACACAGTAAACAGACAGTAACAGTGTCCTATAGAGTGGTTCACACAGTAAACAGACAGTAACAGTGTCCTATAGAGTGGTTCACACAGTAAACAGACAGTAACGGTGTCCTATGGAGTGGTTCACACAGTAAACAGACAGTAACTGTGTCCTATAGAGTGGTTCACACATTAAACAGACAGTAACAGTGTCCTATAGAGTGGTTCACACAATAAACAGACAGTAACAGTGTCCTATAGAGTGTTTCACACAGTAAACAGACAGTAACGGTGTCCTACGGAGTGGTTCACACAGTAAACAGACAGTAACGGTGTCCTATAGAGTAGTTCACACAATAAACAGACAGTAACAGTGTCCTATAGAGTGTTTCACACAGTAAACAGACAGTAACACTGTCCTATATAGTGGTTCACACAGTAAACAGACAGTAACAGTGTCCTATAGAGTGGTTCACACAGTAAACAGACAGTAACAGTGTCCTATCGAGTGGTTCACACAGTAAACAGACAGTAACGATGTCCTATAGAATGGTTCACACAGTAAACAGACAGTAACAGTGTCCTATAGAGTGGTTCACACAGTAAACAGACAGTAACGATGTCCTATAGAATGGTTCACACAGTAAACAGACAGGAACAGTGTCCTATCGAGTGGTTCACACAGTAAACAGACAGTAACGGTGTTCTATAGAGTGGTTCACACAGTAAACAGACAGTAACGGTGTTCTATAGAGTGGTTCACACAGTAAACAGACAGTAATGGTGTCCTATAGAGTGGTTCACACAGTAAACAGACAGTAACGGTGTCCTATAGAGTGGTTCACACAGTAAACAGACAGTAACAGTGTCACAGGGCCATGCACTTCTAATATACCAGCTACACATTTAGACGACCAGACCGGGCCACTTCTAATATACCAGCTACACATGTAGACGACCAGACAGGGCCACTTCTAATATACCAGCTACACATGTAGACGACCAGACAGAGCCACTTCTAATATACCAGCTACACATGTAATCGACCAGACAGAGCCACTTCTAATATACCAGTTACACATGTAGACAACCAGACAGGGCCACTTCTAATATACCAGCTCAGGGTTCTCCCCAGATTTTTTTTAAGCCGATATGTTTCATTTGTAACGAACATTCAAGACGGACACGCTAATATAATACCTTATAATACCTTATCAAACCTAAGGGGGGTGGGGGGTGTAATATAATGTTTAAAAAGTTACTTTTATTTACCAAACTTCTTTTGGTGAACATTAAAACCAAGGAAATAAATAAGTGTTTCTTATGTCTGAATTTTCAGCAATATATTCTGAAAAAAAAATACAATTTATAGAAAGGTGGATGAGTTTTGTACATTGAATAATAGATATGACATTTGTGACATTTGTCTCTTATCTTTACATTTGTATCCCTTACTTAATCCCCATTAAAAATAATTTAAAGAAGAAATATTTAAAAGCTATAGGGGGAAACACTTACATGAACAAGTTTATATCATAGTT